CTCTCACTCTCTCTCTCACTGTTTCTCTCTCTCTCTTTCTCTCTCTCTCTCTCTTTCACTCTCTCTCTCACTCTCTCTCTCACTGTTTCTCTCTCTCTCTTTCTCTCTCTCTCTCTCTTTCACTCTCTCTCTCACTCTCTCTCTCACTGTTTCTCTCTCTCTCTTTCTCTCTCTCACTGTTTCTCTCTCTCTCTCTTTCTCTCTCTCCCTCTCTTTCTCTCTCTCTTTCTCTCTCTCTCTCTCTCTCTCTCTCTCTCTCTTTCTCTCTTTCAATCGCGAATACCTCAACTTCTATACAAGAAAGGATGCGGTTGGTTGGTGGGTGCTCTGGTGTCATTTGCTCCTTCTTTCCTATCAAACATCCATCGTCCTTTTTTCTCCTCCTCCTTCTTTTTTGCGTATGTTACTCTCTTACAATGCATCTATACTTCGGTACTTATATGACCTTATTGTGTTGCATGTGCCGTAAAACTTCTTACCAAAAATAAACAAGATAGGCGGGTAATTTTTTTCACACTAACACTAAGACAAACACACAAGCTTCAAGATGATTTCAATAATTTCTTTCAGTTATTTCACAAATTTGCCTCCATATCCCAAATATTTGACGAGCGCATGATTCCACCACGCCGTGACACAATTAGGTACGGTCCGGATATCTTTTCAACTCATCCTCGAAAACGGCGCCTCATCTCTGCTGAAGTGTGTGGAGAGGCGAGAAAAGATAACGTCATATTTTTTTTTTTAATTATCTCTCCCACTGCCTGCGCTGTCAGTCTCACGAGATAATGGATACGGATATGTGTCAAGACGCAGTGGAATCAGGCACTCGTCAGTTTTTGAGCATATTATGGAGTTATTGGTATCATCCTAATGCCTGTCCATCTGCCTTGCCTATGATAGAACAAATTAATATCCATTTATCTTGGATACAAGTCAAGATGTTAGCGATTGAAAGAGCTGGGGGCCGCCTTGTCGCAAAGGTAAAATTAGCGAGAAAATGGCCGCCAAAGTTGCATTTTTTCCATAGCTTGATAGTCCGTGGAATCTAAATATATACGCCTTTTATGCCTTTAATCCATGTTTTAGAGTAAAATCCACATAGAAATGTGTTCTTTAAGGAGCATGGAAGGTGTCGAGCTGGAAAATCCCACAACAATTGGATGTTAATTCCCAAACCTTCGGAATAAATGCTAATTTCTTCACTTTCATTATTTTGACGAGCGCCTGATTTCACCACGATGTGTCACATATTATTATTATTTCGCAACGCACATGTACCAAAGCAACTGTACAAGAAAACAGTTAGTTACGGACATTTAATTTTAATTTAGCAACATGCATGTAGTCTACAGCTTAAGCTGTTCAAATTGGCGCTCATATGACCTTATGCAGTTGCGAGCGCCGTAAAACCCTCTACTATAACTAACTAAAACTGTTCAAAACGACCACCCATTGTTGAGGAGAAAATTAGTTGTCTTAGACAGGTGGATATCTTGAACAGTGTCATTGTAATGGGTAAGGATTTTTAGGGGGAGGGGCTACAACTGAAGGCTATCTCGCTTATTAATGGATAAAAT